CCGTAGGGAAAAACCTGTCAAGAAAACAACGAGTCATTTGAGCCCATGTAGTAATAGAATTAGGAGGAATATAAAATAACCACTCCTTAGCTGAATCGGCTAAAGAAAAAGGAAAAGCTCTAAGTTTGATTTGATCCTCGGTTACTCCCTGTGGTGTCATGCTAGAGCAGACCATGTGAAATTCTTTGAGATGTTTGTGTGGATCCTCGTTTGGCAATCCGCGGAATGTAGGGAGGAGATGAATAAGACCGGTTTTCAACTGGTATGGAGTTTTGCCTTGGGGAAAATTAATGCACATAGGTCCTTGTTCAGTGGGTGCCGCAGCTAACTCCCGAATAGTAGGTTCGGCCATCAGGATTGTATTACCTGAATTTGATTCTTCTTCTGGATCTGATTGTTGTCTCCTTCTTTCCCGAAATGTTTGTGCGTGGAGTCTCCTAGCTTCAGCTTCGATCTCCGGGTTGTACTCCACTAATGTCCCCGGATTAGTCCTGGTCATAAATCAAAAACAAACAAAAAAAAATTAGTAACTTTGGCGAAGTCCCCGGCAACGGCGCCAATTTGACAAACTGTCGTTTTGATGTCAAAATAAAATCCTTCTTCTCGGATAATAATTAAAGAAAAATTCGTAGCGTAGAGAAGTAGGGTCGAATCCACAGGGACTTGGAAAATTCTTAATTTAATGTTTGATTGGTCTATGGCAGGCGTGAAAGATAGTAGAATGGGGGGTTTTGGGTATAATGAGATTTAAATAGTAATAAAGACGATTAAATAAAGCAATTGAAGTAAAAATAGGAGAAATAAGGTTGTGAATAAATACTGTGAAAATAGCCTCAAGCTTCGCTTTGACTCAATTTCCGTAGATCATCAAATAAGATTTTCTCTTCGGGATTCACGTCGGTTACTTTGTCTACAAGGGCTATCCTTGTGACTCTATCTTGTATACTGAATACCCAAGGCAATCTTTGATTCCGGCTTCGGTAATTGATTCTAACAACATCAATTGTTGTAGATCAATTACCGTTTAAGTTCGTGGCGTCCGACTCGAATTGTTGCTTCTATAACCGTCAATTCCGATCTCAAATACCTCTTGGCGAAGCTATCTCGCCAAGTGTGTTCCCAGAAAGTCGAATTGCTTTCTATAAGTAGAATCTTCCTCCCACACGTTTAATCGCAACAACCTCTTGACCAAAGTCAATCTTTGATTTTGAAAACTGTTTTGACTTTGAAAAATAAGCGCAGAGATTGAGAGAGATATTCCGAAGATATTAAGGGACCTTTTCAATTCTCCCGTTGGAATTGAATCATCGCGACAGCTCTCGGCTTATGAAAAGTTTAGCTAAGCATGACAAAATTCATACTTAGCATAAAAACAAAACTTGAAAATAAGAAAAATGAAAAGAACTTGAAAAGTAAAAAGAAAAGCTTTTATAAAAACTAGAGAGAAAAGAAGAATGTATTCCGAATGATGAGTTTAGGCTTACCCCAAGTGGGTATTTATAGCCTCTCAAAGCCAAAAGGATAAACAAAGAAAATAATAAAATAATACAAAAGATAATTGTTTTTAAATTTAAATTCAAACTTATACTAGTCTCCTAATGCAACTCTGCTCGTCAATCTTCCAGAAGGCGTGCAGACGAAGTCTTCTAGAAACCGCCGCTGACTGGACCTTCTAGAAACTACCACGTCAAACCGCGTCGTGCCCAGAGTCATGCCCATGTCTCCAGCCGTGACCAAATAATAAAAAAAATGCAGAATTCGCCCGTTTTATCACCAATTCTAGAAAGTAAGGACATGCACGAAAATAGACATAACACAACCAAATCAGCAGCAATAACTTCACAAAATCGAAGAAATAACGAACATATATTAACGATTCTGAACACTCATCAATACTGATTTCAATGACACCACAGTCCCATCTCTCAACTGAACCTTAATGAACTTAGGCACAGTGAAAGTTACTTCCATCTCCACGTAGACCTTTACAAAAGCCAACCTACGCCGATGAACAGTGAACTCATCTAGATACAGAGGAGTGCCCAAAGCACTAGCTATGTAGCTCAACCTTAAACCCGTAAATAAAATTATAAAGGTATTTGATTAAGATGAACCCAAACAAGGGTTCTATCCATAGCAAAATCTAGAGATCTCATATTTGGCTCCAATCTCCACAAGATAATAGGCTTATTCAGAACATTTCATGGGCCATTTGAAAGCACCCATTCACAAGCTTCTAGATTCAAAAATTGAAACAAGAATAGATCATTACCTATAAAATTGACAACGATTTCCCCAAACCGACCCCCAAGTGAATTGGCAAATCCATGAATAGTAGAGAAGATTGTTGACTTACCTAGAATTTGGGTAACCAGAGAATTTTTTTCAAATTTGCACCCCCACATCGAAAACCTCCGCTGGAAGCTTGATCGTGATCTCACCATCCTTCCGATGGGGGGGGGGAACTGGAGCGAAAGATCCTCTTTAGAAACGAACAATTGTCTCTAATTCATACAACTTGAGCTAACCCAATTTTCCAAATTGATTCGCAACCAGCTAGAACCCACTGAACTGAACCCAAAAGAAAACGAATAGAAAATTCAAAAAACACCAAACCTTATCGAACCCGAACAAACCACCTCGACTCACTGATCAGACAAACCAGAAAAATGGCCGACGAACCAAAAAACACCAGTGAACAAAAGACCTGCTATCGTGCACCCAGAGCTTTTCTAATCGTTCCTAAAAATATAAAAATATTTATCTATAAATTATCTAATTATTTTTATTTATAAACATAAAAATATTTATTTAAAATTTTAAAAATATACAAATATTTATTTATAAATTCTCCAATTCTATGTGTATGTATTATGTTCATAGAAATAGATCCGATAGAGTGAACCACAATAAGATTGTGTTACTACTTTGATTATTTTCTTGTAAAATGTTTGTAGTAAATTACTACGCTATTTCTAACGAGTTAATGGCTTCAAGACTTGTTTTTTTTATTAAATGAAAAGGTCCTCACCCAACAATTTTTTGTTTTGATAAATTGATAAAATCATGGCCGTTTGAGCTTGTGATATATTCATTTGTGAACAAACAAATGCCTTCACCAATCGAGCTCCAATCCAAACAAATGCCATTCAGATATAAATCATTTACTTAAAAAAAAGATATAAATCATTTACAGTAAATTATATAACTTTAAGTTGATTTATTTTTCTTCATCATAACCAGACAGAAAAGATCTCACAAAATGGTGGTTATTCGACTAACAATTTCACTCAGAGCATGGGTTAATTTGGTTCAAACAAATCAGGTCAACCGCCATATTATATTGGTAACCTCTAGCTCCATGATAATACCTGAATCAAGCATGATAATTTTATTGAAAGAATAAAGTGAACTAAAATACTTGGATACATATTTTCAATATTCTTTTCTAGCAGCAATCCGTTCTAGTCTAGTTGGTTAGGATACTCGGCTCTCACCCGAGAGAATCGGGTTTAAGTCCCAGCAACAGAATTTGGTTTTATTGTTACGTATATTTTTGTCTTTGTTGGGGGCATCATTTCCGCCACTCAGTGGTGGTACCCTACTGGATCATAGCTGCTAAAGTAAAGCACCAAAAGAGTTTTATGCCCCACTTTGTTAAACAATAGAGGAAAAAGCTCCAACACACAGTATCATAGCTGAGAAAACGAGGCTTACGGCTTCACTGTATCAGTTGATAACTTAAAATTTTATATATCTTGTTCCTTCTCAATTGCTTTCATATAATCAAGAAACCAAATAACCGTGTCTTAGCTAAAACAACAGAAGTTGATCAAATAAAAGCTTGCGAGTTCAAATTCAGTTTTTTTGAACCATAACAATGGCGGATGACCTTTCAGAGAGCTCCATGAGGTGCAATGCATAGACACATACTCCTTCCTTTTTCTCAGTAACACGTGAAGCTGAGAATTACTGTCTTTTCTCTCTATTGTTTTCTACTCATGTTCTCCTTTACCATTTCGTTTAGCTGGCTCATACACTGCCATCACAAGGGGGGGTAGTTATAAAAGTTGTAAAGATGGTCATCAAAACCATGATTGCAAATGTTTTGGTCATTCAAAACCTGTAAAAATGTCGATTGGAAAACATTCATAAGGAGCCGGAGGCGGAGCTCTCTTAGGCCCGGCTCCTGTAAAAAAAAAGTTATGTTCGATAGATTTTTATTTATTAATATTTTAATTCATATAAAAATAAGTATTCAAATTAAAAGCAAGAATTTATTAAATATTTAATCATGTAGGGGTCGAATTAAAGAATAATAATCCAATGTTCTTGATTTTTTTGTCTAAAAACAATTTAGGTCATTGTAAATTTAAATATTAAACAAATTAAATATTATTTTCTGAATTTTAAGTTTAAATATCTAATAAGTCATTATATATCTCTTAAAAAATTCAATATTTTAGTCCATGTCAATTCCTAATCTTAGCTTTGTCCCTGATTATATATATTTTTTTAAAAATTCAATATTTCGACTCCTACCCATTAAATTTTATCATATCCTAGTCAATAGTTTAACATATAAATAGTCATGTAACTATTTTGTAATTTTTAATAGTTAGGGGACTCAACAAAACAATGTCCTATAATTGGAGGACCTTTTGTGTACTTCACCCAAAAAATAAAAAAATATATTATAGGTTGAAAATGACATAAGTAAAGTTTAACTATCTTTTTCCTAAACTTTTATCACCTAAAAAAAGTTATCTTTCTTCAAGTTCTAAGAAGATAAATCTAATCATAAATACTAGTTGTAAGTTACCATTAGAACTAGATTTTGAGATAAACGAAAACTCTTTTTCTATTAGCTTTTTATATTTGAATGGACCTTATTTGTCTCAAGACTTGTACGTAACTTTCATTATCAGTACATTGAATCAGATAAAATGGTGTAAGCTGCAATGTAAAAACTCAAATCTCTTGCTCCGAACATGCATGTTTTATTTAATACACGTGCACAAAAAAGTTGTACAGACAGCTTCACTGGCAGAGCTATGCATACTCCACTCCGCAGTCCATACACGAGACAATTCGATGTTGACGACAACCCCATTCTCGACATAAATACTACGGTGGATGTATAGAGCTACTACACAATACTAACAAAGAAGAGTAGATCTGATATTTTTATTAGTGGGAGAAATGGGGTTGCATCTTATTTCTGATACCAAGTACACAAGCAACAAATAATAATTGCAGCAAGGGTAAGCATACAAATAAAATGAGATTTAGGGGCTAATTAAGCTTGGCACATGCAATCAGGAGCCGGATATGTATATATGGACTGTTTCAGTTTCCTCAACCGCAGCTGCCCTTGTCTATTTTGGTGTCCTTCAACCACTGCCTGACGGAATTCCGACCAAGTCATGTTTTTGTTAAGGAAGAGTTGGCCCAACAAAGCCATGTTTGGCCTGATCGTCTTCATGTTCTCGAACGTTCGATGTCCCATCTGTTCGCATGTCGTTGCCAAACAAAGAAAATCACAGTTACAAAAGCATTGCAGTTGCAGAATTCACTCAAAACTATAGATTTCAAAAGTAAATGAACTTAAAATATGCATGTAAACGCACAAACTATGAAACCATTTATTGACACACTCTACATAATAGACTGCTAATCGTTCCCCATGCATTTTGCCAGAAATACTCACCAACGCATTGTGCATGTTCCCCGGAGAAGCTGAGACAAAGATGTCACTATGCAAACCCACATAGTAATTAACCGCTGCTAACAACGAAGCCTTTCCTTTTATATGGACCCTTTCCTCCGGTGATGCAAGGCTCTTTTTGCTTTCCATCATCGGAAACAGCTCATGTAGAGTGGCAATCCTAGCTTCCCCACCGTATACCTGAAATATATGGCCATTTGATGAATGCATGGTCAAAAAAATGATGTATTTGAAAAAGATTTCTTGCAAAACCAGAATTCCTAAGACGAAGTACCTTGTGGGAAGCAAGATAAAGACGGGTACTATTATCAAAACCTAAAGCTGCTAGCAGCAGTCCGATTTCCTCAGGAGTCAATGGACAACGACCTTGACTTCTCAACTCTTCATCAGTAAACTGAGAATTGAGAACCCTCCCTCCCCAAATCGTTTGTCGGTACTTGGCCAGAGCTAACTTTTCGGCTTTACCCCCACCGAAATCACAGGCCGAATGAGCAGCCATATCCTGCATAGAAACAATGATATCTTTTAATATGCTCAATGGTATTTCAAACTAAATTCTATATATCTAAAAAATGCCACGGATGCAAGGATGTTAATCGACATTACAAGCCAGTTATATACCTTATCAAACCGAAGGTGTACTACTACAAATTTCTGCGGTCTTTGTTTGTCATTTTGATGAGTGTTTCCTGTAAGATCGTCAATGGCAAGTGCTTGACTCTCAGCCGGAGGATACCTGAGGTGATGGACAAGGGCATCTCCGAGTGCACGAATGTGTGGAACAAAAACGAGTGCTTTAAAGTTGACGTTACAACGCAGTTTCTGGATTTCACTTGGCAAGTTGTCAAAAGACAAACGGTGAGAGAATGGAGAAATTGCAGCAATCCCATTGCTGTAAAATTGACAGAACATTTTTATTAGAGTACAGTCAAATCTGCACCATACGCTCACTGGCTGTGAATTTAAACCAATCACACAGCGCACGTTTATGCATAATGTCCCATGACACTAGAGAGTACTTGTATGTGTTTGAAAACTATCAAAAGCATCGAAAATGTGCATACAAATCAAAACGTTCAAGTTGCAACCAACCTTTCAAGTACAGGCAAGACGTTCTCGAGGTACCAGTTTACAGATGCATGAACAGGTGCTCGTTTAATTCTGGTGGCTCGAATAGCAGTGGCATAATACTCTCTTGTGCTCCAAGAGAATTCCTCGGGCAGCTTTTTGACAATCATTACATCATCTTTCAATACATTAATAAAGTGATCCACGTCAAATATATCCATGAATGAGCTGCAGGGAAAACAGTTACTTCAGAAAAAATACGCCTCCTTAAACCAGGGCGAAAACTAATTTCCACTCGGAGTAAGAACTTGAAAGGATGATCTTTTTTTCTACACATAAGTACCTTGAGTCTTGCCAAACCGGATTTACTTCAAGATGTGGGATCACAAGTGTTGCATTTAGTATTTTAGCAACTGCAACAGCATCGCATATCTACGAAGCAAAAAGGAACTTAATATCTTACAATCTGATTGAATGTTTAATCAAGAGACATAGAATTATTGGATGTTTTGTAATTTCCGACTCCTCTAGAATACGTAAAACGAAAATGAGACCTACCCCCATTCTTTGCTGGTTGAGTCCTCCATCAAGAAAGACCTGAAGATATCCTTCAGATTTCAGGGGCAGCGCTGCTCAAAGCAATTGAAGAGCAAAATCCAAGAAAATATAAGTATTGACAATGGAAAAAAAAAGAAAAGAAAAAACTCGAAATAGCATTGCTTAGTACTCACATGGGGCGTTTACGGATTCAAGACATGGTCTCCACCCTTGGTCAGCCAAAGGAGACCAGAGATCAGATGGTTCTCCATTGGACTGAATACAAAACATAGAAGAAAATCAAACAGAAAAATTACAAGTCAATATACAGTCATAAAAGGAAAAGCACAGGGAAGCGCGAAATGCTGCATAATAGACATCCACCCACGCTTTCACGTTGTAAGGCGCTTGTGAGTAAAGGTAAATGTCGAGGTTTCATGACATTAGACTCCTGCAATGAGCACCAAAGGTTAATTACCTTTCCCAAACAAAGCAATACTACAACAAACCAGATAAATTGAAGTTCCGTTTCCTTCCCAAAATATGAGCATTTATCAATCTGACAGTACAAATCAATAGATTAACGGGGGAATTCTGCTCAAATATGTTACCTTTATACTTTTTGTGAATTTTGTGGAGGAAAATGTTTAATTTAATCAAGAGAATAGAAATACTTGGAGAGGCTAAAGAAAATTTACAAGAATGGAAGAAAAACTGAATTGCAGGCCACCATTTTTCAAATTTCCAGTTCAAGCAAATTAACTATATACTACCAAGACAAGGAATTCTAATTTGGGATAATTTTCAATAAAGCAATATGATTACCAGACACTTAGCTGCAAAAGCCTGCCACTTCTCAATAAACTTCTGTCGGCAAAATAAACTTAAAACCAACTCTTGTTTTCCATTTTTAATGAACTGCAAACTTTTCATTGAACAATCTCAAATTTCCCATTTCCATGAATTTTCCACAAAGAAAATTATAACCAATAACTCATTTTCAATAGAATAAGGAAAAGGAAAATTCATCTAAGGAATATATACATGTATGTATGTATAGAGGAACATACCAATAACGTAGAAGAGGAAGCATTGGTGAATGAAGTAAACAAACAAAGCCAAAAAACTGGGAGAAGCAACACAAATAACCCAGCAATTGCTTCTCTTCTAAGAGGCTGATAATAATGATTCTGATGCTGAAACCTCATCCTTTTTCCCATTAAACCTGGAAACCCAGATCTCCAAAACGATCACTTTCCCCAGTTTTCTCTCCTTTCTTTTCTCTTCTTCTTTGTTGTTGTCTTTGATATTGCTTGATAGTGATAACCACAAAAACAAGCAACAAAAACAAAATTTAATCAACAGTCAATATGAAGCTCAACTCAAGCCCCCAATATCACATGAATTCTCTGTAATTTCCTGCTCTTTTCTCACTTTCTCTCACTTTCTGGACACCTGTATTAGCTTCAATAATGGGAAACTGTCCTTTATAAAGAGTCCCTATCAAAAAAACACAAGCCGTATATAAAAGTTTATATATGCATGTGCATATAAAAAGAAAAGAACCAACAAAAAAAGGATAAATTTGTTGTAGGACATTATACATGATAAAATTGGAATCTGTGAAATAAATTTTTAATCTTTTTTCACATTTTTTTCGTTTAAAGGTTTGTGAAAAAAATATGCAGTGTGGTGAGTTGGTGTTTTGATAGACTTTTGATTAAAGTTTCCATCTTTTGATTTTTTGAACGGTGATAAATAATGTGATCAGAAAGCAGACCACCGACACTGATGAAACTGTTGAAGTCTTTAAGGTTTACATATAAATGCGGCTGTAATATCATGATATGGTCCCCAATGTTTCTCTAAATCAAATTTTCAGTTTTGTCTAAAATGGAAGTGAAAACAATAGGGTAAACTATGAGTTTAGCACTCAAAGTATCATTTTTATTCCCTTTTGATCATTCAACTATTATTTTTTCATAATCATATCTAATATTACGTTTTGATTCTATTTTGATCATCTACATTTAAAAGTAATATAATTGCTACTGATGTGGTACATTTTAAGTTTTTCAAATATTGATGTGGAATTCGCTTATAATAGCATTTCAGCATCACTATTAATTTTTTAACGGTAGATGATGAAATTAGAAAAAAAAGATAACATTAGGTATGATTTTCAAAGAAAAAATAGTTGAGTGACCAAAATGAAATAGAAGTAATAATTGGAATACTAAGAGTGTAGTTTACCCTAAAATATGTGATATATTGATGAAAAAGAATATCGTTTTGGCTATCCTCTATCTCCGGGTTTATTTTGTTGTTTAAGAGAGACCCATTCGCTTTCTCTAATAACTAATTCGAAAGAATCATCCTATGATAAAAGTGACATTTCTCGTCTTCCTTACTTTATCATACTTTTAAATGGAATCTTTATTTTCTTGTCTTCCTTATCTTACTTCAATCGTCACATTTATTTTCTTTCTTTTATTTTTAAGATATAAAGAAAAATGGTTTGTTGTTTTAAGGATGTTATGTTATCCAAATTATTATATGTCCAAAGGAACAATTTTTATATTAATTTTCATTCATAAATGTATTGAATACAAATATCATAAAATAAAAATACTTTTAAAATAATAAAGACCCAAATACTAGATATTTGGGGAGTTTAATAATGGGTTACTGAATTTCAGCTTTTAAACATAAATTTTTGTAATGTGGAGCTCACCAAATATTTGTTTCTTGATATGTGATTCTTAATTTTTCTGTTCAAATACAATAGGTGAGGTAGTAGTTTACAACAGTTGGCACAATAAAAAAATGAGATCGTTATAATTGGAGTCTCTTATAATTTAAATGGAGAATTATTAGTTAATTAATTGAAGTCTAAATTAGGAGAAAAAGTGAATTTTACAGTGAAAGAGAAAGAATCTCATTTGATCTTGTCGTAACCGACCTTCGGGTGAACCCGGAATCGGGTTTCGACTTGAATTTAATGTGTTGGAACCACCACCGATTATTTTAGATTAGAATGATCAGATACATTAATTTACCATTTTATCTGATCTGCGTTTTACTAGAAATTTGTCGGATTCGGGAGTTGATTACAATCAAAGAATGATTAGCACCCTTGTATTGCCCTTTCGGTACTAATTTAATTTTCCGGTTGTCTTAATTACGAAAATTAAAATTTAAATTAAAATTTGAAATTCGATCCGAATTACTTACCTTTGATCGATTAAAATTGTCCTAAAAAGCCAAAAATAAAGTTAAATAATAAAATAAGATAAGATAAAAGAATAAATGCAAAGAAATAATATTAGGGTTAGAATAAAATATAAAAAATTAAATTAAATCAAAAAAATAAAATTAAAAAGATTAAATTGGAAAGAATTAAAAATCAAGAATCAATTTGAATTAATTGAAAACTGCAACGAGAAAAATAAAAGTTAGTGGGTTAAATTGTAAAAAATATAAAAATAAAATAAGATAGGCACTAAATTGATTTAATTTAAAATTCTAGGGCAAATTTACAACATGTGGTCAAAATGAATTATGCATCAAAAGTACAAGGACTGTGGAAATAATTTAACTATTTCATAATTGCACAATAGCCCTCCCTATAAATATCCCTCCCTATAAATATCCCTTAAAACAAAAAAAATCATTTTTAACTCATTTCTGAAAATAAAAACCTTCAAAACTCTTTCAAGCTCTCTCCCTCAAAATCGACCGGCCTATAGTCGGTCTCCCTCCCGACGAGATACCACCGCCTCCGGTGGCCGAAAACCTAAAGGCCTACCCCAAAACTTCCTCTTAACATCCCAGACCCAAAACCGACCTCCAAATGCTCAAACAACACCCCTATCAAAGTATATTTAAGAAAAACCTCTCGGGTCTTACCTTTTTTTTGGCGAAGACTGATGGTTTTCCTCCCTTTCGAACCGAGACCAACGCTCAACCTTGATGCCTTTTATATTTTTAGTATTTTTTCTTGTGATTTGCTTGATTGCCTTGTGATATTTGCTGCTTGATATTTCTATTATTTCGATTTTTTTGTGTTGCTTTGATCTTTGTTGTTGTGTTCTTAATGGATTTTAGATTTCTTGTTGTCTTTGGTTTGATGGCTTGGTGGGGTTTATATAACCCCTTCGAAAGTGGTGGTTTCTGAGCATCTCGGGGTATTTCTGAGTATTTTTTGGTTGTTTCTATGTTGTCCATCTTTGACCAAAGATCTCAGATGATTCAGTCTGAGTTGCTTTGATCTTCGGGGTTGTTCATGGTTCTTGTTTGACCATATATCTCGGATGGTTCAGTCCGATCTTCGCGTTTCAAATGCCAAAATATTAGCCGACTGGTAGTCTCGTCGGTGCGTGATTCCCACGCGTTGTCATCGGTGGCTCTCGAGCTTCTGGAACCTTATGGGATTTAATCTTGGTCGTTGGATTGTTTGCAGATCCAACGGTCCAGGATCGACTGCGGTGTGATTCTATTTTAGTTTTAAAAAACCCTAAATCTCTTACGATTCTGGCTATTGATCTCCATATCGATCAAACGACCCTTATTTGTACGGCGCTGGACTTAATGATGAAACCCTAGTGGCCTGGGCTTGCTTCTTGGGCCACTGATTTTCCACCGGGTCTGCTGGGTCAGGCTACCTGGTTGGGTTTCGTTTCTGGACTTGGATCTTTAGACCCCTTTTATTGGATCGAAATTAGACCTAAAAAAAGAAAACCGAAAATAATATTAGTAATAAATAAATAATACTATAAATAATATATAATATGATATAATATAATATAATATAATATGTACTATATATTTATTTAAAAACTATATAACATATATTATATTTTTAAAAAACCATATAATATGTTTTCAAAAATTATATATATTATATATGTTTTCAAAAATATTTTCAAAAACTATACTATATATTATTATATATATTATCATATAAATAAGCCCCTTGAAGTCTTGGATGAAAATGAGTGTCTACAGCTATCCCTCTTTGCCCATTATTGTGTAACAAAAATACGGCAAAGACACAAATTTTCGTTTGGTGCAAATGGACTTGAAAGCAAGGATGTTCCTATGAGGGTTGTCGATCTCTGAGTTTAAAATCCGACTCAATGTTGCAGTCGACTCTTTTATCGAATATCCTCCATCACAGAGTTGAAATTCGACTTAAAAATAGAAGACAACTCCTTTTTGTTGGGACGCATTACGGGTGACTCATTCGTAATGAAGTTGAAATCATGGTTGACCCCTTCGTCGTTAACTCGAGTCGATCTTAGATGTTTCGAGCATGATATCCTTCGGTGTGAAGTTGAAATCTAGTTCAAAATATGAACTAGAAAGTGGCTTCTTGTTGCCAAATCGTAGTCAACCTTGGTCTTTTTCTTTTCTTAAAGATCTTGGTTTAAAATTCAACCAAAAAGTAGTTCCTTGTTACTACCATGCGGTTGATACGCCCTCGAGCTGAATGGAATCAAACTCGAAAGTTTTCGTTGATAGAAAACCTTTCTCGACTTAAGCTATGTTGTAAATTAGGTTGAGTAAATTAGGTTGAGAGATAGTTCCTTATTGATAAATGGCAACCAACTTAGGTATTCTTCTTGACTTAAAGACCTCATTTTAAACTTCAACCGGAAGTAGTTCCTCACTGTTACCATGCGGATAATATGCCCTCGAGCTGAATGGAATCGAACTTGAAAGTTTTCGTTGACAGATAACCCTTCTCACCTTGAGATATGCTGTGAACGATTCCTCTAAATGAATTATGGCTCCCCTTCGCGGGTTTATGCCAGTCATAATTCCTTAGATGACTCCCCTTTGCGGAAAAGCCAAGTGATATATTCTTCGGGTGGTTCCCCTTCGCGGGTCTAAACCAGATGAGATGATATTTAGATGACTCCCCTTCACGGGAAAACCATGTGGTATATTCTTTAGGTGACCCCTCTTTACGAGAAAGCCAAGTGAGGTAGTCTGTCAGCCGAATATCATACATCCTGGAGTTGAAATCTGGCTTGAAAACTTTAACTGGAAACTAGTCACTCGTCTTTAAGTTAAGCTAAACTGAATCTGTTCTGAATTGGCTCTCGAACTAGTCGAACTCGATTTGAAGTTGATTATAAGATCCATCGATCTTTCTATCAGCTAAGTTGGTTGAGGTATAGCTCATCGCCGCTGAGTTAAGTAACTACCATCAATTTTTTTGAAGATGCTTTTGAATTGGGTATCCTTCGTCGTGATGTTGAAACTTGACTCTAAAGTTGCAAAAATTATGTATGCGGAAAATGATAAATGTGATAGTCTTAAGTATGTCTAAGATGTATGCACAATGAATTAGTTCTTGCTTTATTTCTTGGACAAAGTCTCATTCTTTGTCTACTGGTCTTGTCCTTGGAATCGATCATGCCCCAGCACTGATGGCTTCATGGAAAATATGTGACATTTGCTCATTTGT